TCTCTTTCCATATAATTCTGGGGTCCACTCTTTCTTCAGTTACCTTCACATGCTTTTGATATGCCTATGCATTGCAGTGTCACAACCGATAACACCTGAATTTTAAGCATTTGGCTTCTAAGCGCTGCACCTTGCCTTGAAAATACATATTAGAGAGAGAGTGCTAGGCACATAAAATCCCAGGGCTGCAAGTTTCTTCAGATTGTCGCCTGCAGGAAGAATCTTTAGGTGCCTAGGGATAATGAAACAATTCTCTATGTACCTTATCATGGTTACTGAAAAAATCAGGATATTAGGCTTAATGGACCTTTGTTCTGGTCCTGTATTGTTTGCATGTATTTTGCTGAACTTAATCAAAAAGTTAAGGGATGTTCCTGACTGTTTTCATGTGTGAATGTTATAAAACATATTACATAATGATTATGCACTGCTACAACAATGAACTAGAATGAAAACATAGATAATGCCTAAACGAAATCACAAAAGTCATTATTGGGGATGTTGTGTAACGCTACCTAATTAATCCTGCCAGTGTACAGTATACTCAGTGATTATTTTTTTTTTTACTTTTCCAGATTATTTTTCAATATTGCTGTAGTGCAGCACAGCATGGTCTAGTGTAAGTACATCTAATCAGTATCTCAGAGAAAAAATAATCACAGAAGGTTGTTATAAAACTGAAAACTAAAATACACCAAATCCAGCTCTGAATAGTAAGAGAGAAATGAATCTTTTAAGGACAGGTCACACTTCAAAAATAACATATCTTTTTTCTTTTTTTTTTTTAGTATTTTTTTAAAATATGCACTTATGCACCAAGAACAGCATAAACAAATGGATTCAAATAATCAAATGCTGGATTCCTCAGTGTTACTTGTGTTTTCTAAACTCATGGAGCCCATTTCTGGAAGCAAGAAGTTGGTAGGAAGACACTTCAAAAACAAAGAAGGCTGCCTACAGCACATTTTTAACAGGGATGATTATTACAGGCAATTAGGCTGCATAATTGCCTGAGGAGAGGAAATCATCAGCTGCTAAAAAACAAAGAAACCTTAGTTTCTAGTAGCAGCCTCACTAGCTGACATGTGTGGCTCTGAGAAGCTTTCTGGTCACCTATAAGTGTATTTGGTAACTTCAATTGCAGCTATATAAAATTTTCCTTTTGGTAAACAATATGGCTATGCAATATTTTTCTGCAGAGCTGCATCAGGTGGCTGCTTTCTTCTGCACTCACCAAAGAAGGAAATGTTTATTTCCAGATTGTGGCAAGAATTGCAGCTTCTTAATTTTTCCCCCATCTCCTTTTCATAGGGCTGCAGGCAAGTCTTGGGAATCTGCCCATGTGCTGTGTTCCACTGGCAAGTAGTTGGCCCAGGCAAGATGAGCCAGCTGGACCACAGGAACCCCATAATGCTTGGCCTGGACCTGCGGCACTGCAGAGGCAGCAGTGAGGAGAAACAGAGGTTTGAAAGGGAGGCAACCAGCTTTTGCAAAATGCCCTCAACCAGCTGAGGCCTGAGGGGTGAAGTCAGAACCTCTGGAGCAGCACGATCTCCAGCGCCTTCTCTGCAGGGCCCTCCTGGATCTGGCCTGCATGGGCTTGTTATTATTATTAATACTCTGCCATTTGCCATGAACAACACAATGCAGTAAGTTATTAGCAATACAGGTGAAGGCACAGCAAGGCCAGCCAAGTGTGTACCTCATCAACAGTGCACAGTGTATGGCTTTGTTCTGTGTGGTGGCTGCCTTGGACTGACGTGACAATGTTTCTGCTGCTTCTACCTTCAGGTGCAGTAAAGCACCACAGAACTGTGATTGAATGGATTGGAAATGAGCAGGAATCAAAAGCTGTTTTCATGAAACCCTGTAGAAGGAAGGACCTGTCCAGGTACACTATCTGCCTCGCTACCTATCTCCACCAAATGCAGCTTTTGCCACTGCTGCTTTACAGTGAATTTTGATCTTATGGATGTACAGTCATAAGGAAAGTTGGCTGCCACATATGTCCCACAAGGACTGTAATATTCATACTTTCTCCTCCATGCATCTCTCTTGGCCATAAATGCAAAGGTGTTTGCTTTCACAAGTGAAATATTTTGTGTGCTCGACACAGGGTGGCCTGGACATGTAGTGCTCTTTCCTCCCAAGGACAGGGGATCTGCAAACTGGGGTAAGGATCTCCTGACACAAATCACTCTTTCTTACATGTCTAACAGTGGGGCCATGGCATGTTCTCCTGTTAAGGGATTTACACAGACCAGCTCTTTGCAGAACATATGCAAAGCAAAGAGCCCCCATCCCCCTCCCCGCTTCTGATAGAAACTTGACCAGCCTGCAGAGCTCTAGGGCTGTGACAGAGCCTCTCCTTCCCTGAACATCTTGTGCCTAAATGCTTTTTTTCTAGCATCTGCACAGATCTTAGCAAACACTCTTTGCAGGTTTGCCTGCCTCTTTCTAATGTAGTTTTTACTAGCTGCAACTTTGTATTTTCTACTCAGCAACAAAGAGAAGGGGTTGTTTACTGTTGTGTGCTGTACAATGAAGTAATAAGGCAACTAACTCAGTACAGCCCACAGGAAAAGAATTGGCACCTAGTGAGAAGATCACTGTCTATCACCAGAAGAGAGAAAAGTAGAGTGGTGACAGCAGGAAGAAAAACAGAAGTTAAGAGAAGGAAACAGAAAGGATATGAGGGAGAATTCCTGCCAGTTAGTGCTAACTAATGGTGAAATAGACACCCAGACAAAGAAACATAAACCCATCACCCAAGAAATTTTAAATAAAACTTTACTTATCACTATGCAAAAGAAACTGTATTCCAGAAGCACTGACTGTCTAAGACAAATGTGTATGACTGCAGCGGTGATGAAGTGGTGGCACAAGGATGAGCAGCTTGACCAAACGCAGGGTTCCCAAAGAAGAGCCGAAAGCTCTGTCATCCTGTAATGCCACTTCTGCACTCCCTCTATTAGTAACAACGATTAACCTCAGAGACATGTGGCATCAGCCCATGACACCTGTCTGGGTGAGCCAGCCCTTATTAAAGCCCTGTGGCAAGGCTGCCAGACCTGCAGGCCCTCAGTGCCTTTGTCCCAGCCACTCTCATCTTTTGGGCAAGAGGTGCAAGCAAAGTGCTCCCAGCACCTAATGTTTCTGTCCCCTGCACAGGAGGGGCACCTAGTGACTCATCCCAAACCTGCTGCAACTGTTTCTCTGCTCTCTGCACCGTTATACAACAGAGCAGAGAAAGATGAAGCCCACTTTTACCAGATACCATGTGCTGAATATTTGCAGCAGCGTATAACTTCCAGCTGCAGGTGCCTTTGGTTGTATAATACCATATTAATGACACTTCCAGGCTAACCTGAAAACTTAATAGTATTTGTGCTAAGCTCTGCACTGAGCCAGGAGAGATTTTAGGAAATGTTATGGGAGAAGTTGTATATGTCTCAGGAGACACAGTTCATAACTGCAAAGCACAATGGTAGGGGCAATGTCACCCCCTCATTCTCTAAAGCACAAGGGGCAGCATCTCACAAGTGTTGCTTCGTCAGTTTCATTGCTTGTTGTGCAGCGTGTTTCTTCCATAAAAACCGGAGGCTAAACTTCCTACTCAGTACAACTGTGTACCTACATGACAGAGCAAAACAGGCACACTCTTCTCTGCTACACTTCGTTACATGTGCTGGAGAACTTTCTTTAACCTGAACTGCTAGGGCTTTTATTTAAACTGCTTGAGACTTTCATGGACTGCCTATCCTTTAAGTAGGAGTTGATTTCAGGATAGTTTGCCTTCATCTGCTCTTTGCTCTGGAACTGGCTAGGTCCCAAACAAAGCACAAAAATGCCAAGGCCAGAGTCCCTCACAGATTTTGGTGCAGCCTAACTTCTGGTTTTGATGTTGTCATGCAGTCCCTCATGACACAGTGACAAATGCCAAGCAGCACTAAATACCTCACATAAAATGAATCATATTCTACAAATGCTAGACTTGAACATGTCAGAAATGGTGAAAATAAAAGCAAACAACTTCCCAGAAACCTCACTGTTCACAGACACCACTCAGAAATGACCACTTTTCAGCAAGTGGTACTGTAATCACTGCCAGCCAGGCCAGGGGAAATATAGTTCCAATAACTGAACATGTTTAGAACCCAAAGAGGAAATGAACAGTTCAGCTTTTGCTTCCTCTGGAGACAGGGCCAGTATGCAGTGTATGTATACCAGTACATACCATTACGCAGAACACTGAAGCACAACTATAGACTGTACACAGAAATGGGATGATGTCTTTTCACATAGCACAAAACGAGTCCACCACACTAATTTTTCATGACAGCATTTCTGAAAAAGGCCATACCCATCCTTAAATTGTTTTGGACCCTATTTGGTATTATCATGCAAAATATCCTCACAAAATCATGCTCTGGAATGACAGCTTCCATTGTCAAAACATATGGAAATCAGAAAGCAGTTTGTGGCAGATATGATGTTTATTCACTATGAGCTAGTTTTTGGTCTAACTATGTCATTTCAATCAAAGTAAGCACTGAATGTATTTGACATCTAAGGAGGTCTTCAGGCCACCATCACATTTAAGCTGCTTCTGTCAAGTAGGAACTCTGTAACTTCAAATGAGTAACTCGTATTTAACAAGTAATGATGCTATTTACTGGAGACCTGTGATCCCAGAATCCATGCGTCTAGCATAGACTGTGATCCCTTAGCAGACCATAAAGACAACTTATTACAATAATGAGCTCATTAAGCATGTAGCTCTTTAGTCCTGCAAGTTGTTGCAATAAGCAGCTGTTCCAGAGAGTGAAAAATTATCAACTCAGAAAGCACATCTATGATTAAGCTAGACCCAGGGAGAAAGTATGTGAGCAACACCCCTATTATTGTTGAGTATACCTTTGACTACAGTATCCGAGCAAAGCATCAGTGGTAGTGTAGTGACATGCTTCCCCACGCAGTAAGCTAGACACCCCTAGAACTTAAATGTCAAAAAATTTATTATGAAAGCTTCCATAGCAGCAAATATTTCAATAAAAACTATTGCATTATTAAACCAGAAGCATGGCTTAAAGGCCTGTTGAAGTCTGTCTGCTTTAAGAATTGCTGTATCTGCCCTGGTAATCAGTCTCTAAAAGTCCACAAATTACTGAAGTTTGCTTCTCTTCATATTTTGCAGACAGTGTCAACAGTTTCTAGTCACAATACTCTATTTAACCCTGTGAACTTTTGGGCCACTTCCCCTAACTTTCTCTGCCTTCTGAAACTGCTCCACTTGACCAGGAAACTTGCAATACTTGTTTCAGTTCCATAGTATGTTATCTTCCACACAGCTGCAGTCTACTGAAGCTCACTGGTGAGGTGAGCTATTCTTTTCCTTTCTCCTCTGTAAGAGCCCACAGCATGCCAGTCTGAGTGACTGTAATCCAGTCCCTTGACCAGGCTAATCCAAGGAATCAGCAGCTCGTTGCACACTTTAGTGAACACCACGTTGAGAATGCAACAAAGGTTTCAGCCTCCCCATTATGTCAGGTCATGGTCACTCAGGTAAGGCAATAGTTGGCACCCACTCATTGATCTTCCGGCTTTCTTCGCAGAAGGAGTTCAGCTTCTCTAGAGCTGGGTCTTTCCAGGCATCTTCATTTGGGTTCTGCCAGAAAAGCATTGCACACCATGAGTGCATGAAGTCACAGTATTATTTCACAGAAGCATTAGCCTAGAAAGCAAAGCATTTTCAGGCATAGAGAGCAGGGAGCTGAGCTGTCACCATAGTGGGTAGAAGAAAAACCCTTGTTACAGAAGCACTGCCCACTCATGGAGCTCCATCCCTCCCAGTCCCAGCCACGCACCATGATGAGGATGCAGTGCAGGTCTCTGGGCTCGCCAGACTCCTCGCTGGATCCCACGGCAGCAGCCAGCTTGGGTAGGTCACTCACACGCACGATGTCGATGTCGTTCTCGCAGCAGAAGGCCTGGATGAGGGTGAAGTGGATCTGCAGGGCGATGTCCCCCTCGTCCTCCTCATCGGCCGCCAACACGCAGAACGCCACGTTATCTGGGTCTCTGCGGGTGGCGAGAGCCATTAGGCCCCGGCAGGTCTGACTTGCCCCTCACCCCACTCCCGCTGCCTTCCCCCCTACTCACACGTTCATAAGCTTGGCCGACTCGTAGACGCCGGCGGTGAGGCAGCCGCGGCGCTGCGCCGATACCAGCAGCTCGTGGAGGGCCTCGCCGGCGCCCTGCATCCTGCAAGCAGGAGAGAGCGATCCGATCAGCACGGCACCAGCGCCCGGACAACGGCCACACCACCTCCCAGCCACCCGCCGCCGGCACCTACCAGTCTTCGCCCGCAGGCGCCAGCTCCTGTTCTTGCGTTTCTTCCAGAGTCATAGCAGCGTACCGTAAAGCAACGTTATCACCGACCGCCCCCAGCTCTTCCCGACACCTCAATCCCCCCACTCTACCACAGCTCTCCCGACGCCTGCTCTATTTAAGGCCGTGGAGCTGCGGCGCTGGCAGCTGGCGGCGGCCGGTGCACCTCCATTGGCCGGCGGGAAGCGGGGGGAGGGTCCTTTGTCATGCTAATCGACGCGCGCCGGGCGCTGCGGGGCGGGAGGCGGGGGGGTGGGCGGCTCGTGCCGGCAGGCCACGTGGTGGTGGAGGGAGGGGGCGACGGCGGGCGGAGGGGCGGGGAAACGGGCGCGGGGTGGGAGTGTGCCGAGAGGGGTCCCATAAGGGCTGCATGGCGTGGAGCTGCTGCCTTGGGGATGGCGGGGTATTAGAGACAGACAGTTCCGTCTTGGAAGGAGTGGCGAGGCTGCGCAGGGAGGTGGGGGACTCACCATCCCTGGCGGTGTTCACTAATCGTGTGACTGGCATTGAGGGACGTGGGTTAGTGCACGTGGTGGGGGTGGGTTGGCGGTCGGACTTGGTGATCTCAGAGGTCTTTTCCAACCATTATGACTATATGAATGCTCAAAGGCATTCTCAGCTTGAAAGCCAGCACTATGACCTGCTGCACTCCCTAAAATGGACTGACTTGAGCTGCTGCTATAGTGACCAGTGGGCATCACCTTAATCTATTTATCTGGGTACATAAGTCGATCCGAAAATAATGCCTCCTGTTTATTTCCATAGAAACCACAACAAAGAGTGCCGTAGCACCATTTGGTGGAGCAAATTCTCAGCTTCAAAACACATCTTTTCAATAGTCACCACTCTGTATACATAGCTCTGCATTTTAACCAGCAGTGAACAAAAGCCTGCATCTCATGTTCAGAAACATCCACACCAGTGGACAGAGAAGGTTTGGATGCTCCATCCTTGAAGGTGTCCCAGGCCAAGCTGGCTGGGGCCCCGGGCAGCCTGATCAGACAACCTGCCCATGGGATTGGAACTGGATGGCTTATGTGGTCCCTTCCAGCTCAAACCATTCTATGATTTTATGATAGATGACCCACCTGTCACTGTCACCACTGCTGAAACACACCATCTGTTGTCTTACTGTGCCCATATCCACTGTTCAGTCTCTGTAAATGTTCAGCAAGCATCTATGAATGTCAGAGGGTACCATTTTTTCTGCTTGGAGGAATTCAGTGATACAGCTTTGCTTCATGCACACTTTCATGTCAGGCACTATTCTGTCAGACTGCCTCTCTTCTGTCACATAGCAACAAAATACAGTGGAATGTTGGTGGGAAGGTTCAACCTCTGCTGCCATACCTTCCACTTCTGATTTCATGGGCTGACATAGTAAAATAGGAGGCATTACTTTTAGAGCAGCTCAAGTGTGCAGCCACAAACCTTTTACATGCAAACTCCCATTTCTGCCCACCAGCCCAGTACACTGCAGCCACAATCTCTAACAGACTCAGTGCCACAGATACAGTTCTGCAGGACCTGTTCTGTGTGTCTGTTGCAGAACTGACGGCACCAGGTCCTGGGTAGCTCTGCTGCTGACTGCTTCAGGCCATCCTGTATGAGGGTGGTGGGTCCACCACACAGCAGCACCACTACTCAGGCACGAAGAAGCACATTTTGCCATTAAATTGGCCTGCCACTGCAGTAGCATGCCCACTTCCCAGCACGGAGGGCAACCCTACAGCCTTGCGTTACCTGCCAGTCAGCACACGGCCGAGCACCGCTCAGCCCGGGGTGGTGTCGTATCCATAGAAAGACCCTGACCTCTGCTGGACATCGGAAATATTAGGGCTGCAACAAACGGCCGGGCCCACACCTGGACGCCGTGCCTGTTCTCATGCCACGAGTGCTTTTCGTGAAAGCCTAGAGAAAAAAAAAAAAAAAAAATATTTTCTGCTTGAAGAAAGCCCTTAAAACAGCTCCCGAACCTTGTAAGTCAGGAGCAGAGTAACGGGGAAAGAGGTATCTATTCAGTTACAACAATGGCAAAGAGTGCAGCAAGAAAAAGCTGCACTGCAGCAAGAAAAAGACAGAACTGCATATAGGTCGCACTCCTGAATACCTGGTAACAAACTGCTCTTCCCCTGTTCAGCCTTGCTGTCCTCGCCCTGCAAGCCTTTTTCTCCAGGTACTGCATTTCACAAACCAGAAAACCAAATTTCCCTGTCAATCCGCGGGCCTTGGGAGCCAAGCAGACGGCTCCCTCTGCTGACACTGTGCTCGGTGGCATTTCAGCTTCCAAAACAAAACAGACGCGGTTTGCAGGCATTCAGCTTAATGAGAAAGGAGTGGAGTAAGGCTTTTGTAGCATCTTCTTTTCTAAAAAATAGCAATAAAACTTCATGTTACAAGTCTTGGCTGAAAACGCTGCTGTGAAAATAGAAGTATCATTCAACTAAGTTAAGTGTTCTGTTAAAAAATGGAGCATTTCTACAAATATAGCTGAAGTGCTGTAGGATGGGCACCACTCCATTGGCTGCACAGACCCAATTATTATAGGCTGTACTGCAGCTCAGTACAGAGCCCTCAATTTGGATGTCTTTTCAGTCTTTGGGCTAAAAAGAAAAAAGGACAAAAGTGGCCTTTGCATTAATTTTGGTTGTTGGCATTTTTTTCTATAGACAATGGCATGCTGCATCAAGTGTCTGCTTGTAGTCAGGAGAGTTTTTTTGCTGGTGTTGCTGAGTTCACACCACAAGTGTGAACCTGTATTTCTCTTACATATGCTATTCTTGAAATAAAGCAAGAAACCAGAAATGCTGTTTTAATGACATTGAAGCATCTTTCTAATAATAGATGAAAGTTTCTTCCTTGTTCTATGAAAAGAACCTTGCTTTAGAGGTTTTATGGAATATGGCTAGTTTTAGTTGTCTATTTCCTCTTATATAGGTGGGATGTTGAAGAAGCTAATTCTGAAAATGCAGACTTGGATCAGCAAGAACCCTCTGTGAAGAAGTGCTGAGCTCAGCAGAGGCCAAGCGAAGGAGAGAAATGCTGTGCCTAGCAGTATGCTGGGGCCTCTCTGCACATCCTGCCGAGGTTTGCTGCAGACAGGGAGCTGCCCCTACCTTCTGGCACAAACAGACATTGCTGCTCACTACACCATGCTGTCTAGGGTCAGGGCACACTGGCTGTCCTTGGAACTGGCTCTGAAAGGCTCCTTCACTTACTTCCCACTCCAAAGCAGGGGTTATTCTCCCCTTCAGGTTTACCTTCATTAACAGGTTCAAGCACTTTTTCACCTTCACAAATGGTTTCTTTATGTGTTGCTCACATTCTTATACTGCACTTATCTGACCATGGGATGCTTCAATCAAAGATAGTCACATACACTGTCTGAAACAGCATCGCATATTTGAGTTGTGTATTCTAAACAAGACCATACATCTCATTCCTATTTCTGACCATCGGAAGTCACTAATGGAACTACAGACAGAAAAGGCTTTCCTTTTCATCTTTATCTTCAAATCTCAGTACTACGCTGAGAACTGACTATAGTGTGCTTCTTCAAAGCGACAAAAATGCAAAAACTCAGTCTTGTATTACACATTCTGTATTCAGACAGTGGTGAGTATGCAAAGTTTATATGTCTGGGGAAGGCTGCCCTCCTGTGCCAAAGTCTCTGTAATCAACACCCACGGGGAGCAGGAAGGCATGGAGTAGCTACGGGGATGGCTGAAAGCATGGGGGGACAGGCTGCTGCAGCTCTACTACCAGCAGGAGCTTCTTTGAACCACTGCTAGGCATGACATCTTCTTTTTTTTTAGCCTGTCTTTCTGTGCCTTCTTTCTTCCCAATCACAGTTTTCTCAGGCCAAATTTTGCAGGACCCTCTCCTGGGATTACCGTGTGTCTGTAGGTCTAACAACTGAAACCTTATTGTGCATTCACAGCAGCTCTGGCTGGTTGCTGTGTGACTGGAAATCTGAGACACATTCACAGCTCATGTGCACCACGGTTGTATAACATCCAGCTCAGAAAACCTACATTTTAAAGCCGAATTGGACAGATAGTGCATGTATGTTCATGCATGCTTGCCTGCCAGAAAGTGACAGGTTTACTATCCCTGAACACATACCTTCGTCCAGAAATGCCTAGAAACCTTGCTCTGAGGGTGGCTTCAGACAGATACTTATGTAATAAGTGATACTAAAAATAGCACTTACTAATAATCTAAGCCAGAAGACAGAGCATCAAAAATCCCTCTGGTCTCCACCACTAAGTCTCAAGCAAGCCTCAGTTGCAAATAAACTCAGGAATTTCTTGTGGTATAGCTGTTTTCCGTCTGCACTTCCCCTAGCTCCTTAACATATTTCTTCTGCTCTTAATTTGCTGCATGGGGCCCCTCTCTTTCAGCAGTGCAAAGCTACTGAACAACACAGCATTGCTGGCTCCCCATTAGGGACTGCCATTAGAGACCACGGAGATGACATCAGCTTTCACACTATCAATTGCTCCATGCAATGCCAAAAGGAATTTCTGAACAGCTGAATGTAACTTGAACAGTACCATATTAAATAATCTGATTTTTATTGTGTTTTATGCTGAACTTTCTTAAGGATGACAATGAAAGCCAAAAACAATTGCTGAAGGAGTTCTCTGAGCAGCTGTCTGTATGATACAATAAAGAGAGAATAGGCTTTCTTCAGCTCAGATGCTGACATTTATTTCATTGCTAATTCAACGGCATGAAATGTGTTCCACGCAGAAGGCAGATGTGTAACCCCTACATCCACTATGCAGTTTTAGGTCTCAGCCTGTAACTGTCTAATGAAACTTCCATAGTGAAATTCTATTGTGCCTGACTGGGCAAAACAGTCGTCTCCTTCATTAGTTCCTTTGTGTCCTCTGTCATGGGTGCAGCAGACAGACAAACCGAGAAGGAAAGCTTGAATGATGAACTCAGATCTTAGGTGTGTCACTCTGATTTCTCCTGTATCTTCCAGCCTTCAAAAAATACAGTGAATCTGTCATATATGTAAACAAATTAGACAAGTGTCTGATGGGGAAGGGCTTAATTGATGCTTCCTCTCACAAACAGAAATGTCAGAAAAGCAAAAATCTTTACTGATCACAAGTACTCACCAAGATCACAAGTACTCACTGCAGCTCTGGCTTTTCTCTGATTAGGAGCCTTAACAAAGCAGAAAATTTGCTTCATCCCATCTTTGCAACTGTAACACAGGAATTAGCTTAAATCTAGAAAGTGATTAGGTTTTCTTCTCTTTCCCCTTCAACTCACCCAAAACAAGTCTTTTTTTTTTTTTTTTTTCCTCTAAAGAGCTGCTGCACAATGGCCAGAGTGAGAAGTGCACCCCGAATATCCTCCCCCTAAAATTGCACTCTTTGATGGATAGGTTTACAAAAAAGAATAGTGACAATTAATAAATGTGCCTATGTATAACCCAACATTAGGTGCAGTATAATGCTAAATGGGATAGCAGCAATTGATTTTGACATTACTAGACTAGGACTGTTGCTCTTGGCTATCACTGTTTACTAGTGAAGAGCTCAGTAAATCTTGGCATGCACTGGGATAGTTTTAATGAATTTCACTGAAACGTTTGTATGCCAGCTGGCCAAGTTTTCATTGCTGATCTGTTGCTTTTTTCATTTTAGCCTTTTCTTGTTCCTATCGGTTTCTTGTCATTTTCTCCTGTGGCTCTATTGTCCCATCACTCCATGTGGAGCTTTGGACCAAACATAAAAATAATGAAATTCCGTCCAAATGAGGTGTTTGGCAGCTGCAGGGAGCCACAGACAGATGTAGCAGGGAGGCTGCCCAGGGAGGTGGCGGAGTCACCTACCTTGGAGATGTTCAAGGAACATTTGAATTCTATGCTGAGGCACATTGTTGAGTAAGCAGGAGGAGGTAGCCTTCCTGTTAAGCATGTGTTCTGATCTCTATTTCCAGAAAATGCAGGTACCTGAAATCTCTCTAACTGTACATCGTTTGTGAATGACCTTAAATATGGCAGAGGGGCAGCACAGTAACACTGGTAAATGATCTTACTAATGATTAAAAATCCAACACTGACAGCATGAGCTCCACCAGTCCTGAACAATGTCCAGTTTGTGACACACTCTGAGGCTCATGTACAGTGTTTGTAATAAACAGCTTAAAGTGAAGGATGTGTTGACCAGAATATGCTGGAGTTTCTGGATCTGCTCAAGCCCAAGATATTTTGGACTTTGGTGGAGAGTGAAACTGTCCACTGTATACTTATATTGACAAAGAAAGAGAGAGAGAGAGAGAGGATATAGACTACCCTTTCCTGCATAGCATGTATTTTCAACAGGAGACATTCCCAGGCAGCTTGGTACAGGTACAATGCACAGGAGGCTGTGGAGCATGGCTATTCACGTGGACTTGGCTTCAAAGGGCAGATGTGGCTTAGCTACAGGAAAGCAGCACAAAAGATCTGATATTGTTCTAAACACTAATGCAGACAAAAGAACATTTTTGGGACCATCTCCAGTAAAATGTGAGTGTGCAGACAGGGAGGCTGCAGGATTAGTAATTTTTTCATCTTATATCCAGCGTATCTCTGTCCTTGAAGTCTTTTTGTAGCTGTTTACCCAAAGCCATAACTCAAATCTTTAGCTGGGAAGGCAATGGTACTTCAAACTCCTGGATAAGTTTACTGAGCACTGACTCTTCTCGTCATGACTCCATGGTGGATAATTCATTTTAGTTTGGTATCTCATTTCCCACCGTACAGCTTTGGTGCTGTAATTTGTCTAACAATGACAAGGGAGGCAGTGATTAGCAAGGTTTTCTGTGCCTCCAAAATTTCTGAGAACAAGATAAGGACACTAAAGTGGGCTTTCCTTAATTATTTTGAACACTGATTTCATCCTCTATATTTAGGGGAAGAAATGATAGCATAAACAGACTGATCTAATCTCTTGTTTAGCAATTTACTGGACGAACATTAAAAGAAATGAAGAACAACCTGCTGCTGGAAAACATGTTTATGAGAGAAAAAAAAATACACCCTATTATTTAGGGTGGCTTTCTCATACCAGTTACTTAAAGCAAAATAGTTCAGATTTTTTTTTTTTTTTTTTTCAGGAGTTCAGGAGGTTTTTGTTTGTTTGTTTGTTTGTTTTTTCAGGTTCAGGAGGCTCCTGGAATCCAATGAGAATAAATTTATGGTTCTAGTAATGGACAAACCAATGAGAGGTGAAGCATTGTTGGATCTGCTGCTCACCAATGTGGAAGAGATAATTAAAGGCGTTAAGGTAGGAGGCAGCCTGGGCTGTAATGACCAATCCCTGGTCGAGTTCATGATCTCAAGTTATGCGGGCCTGGCAAAGTGTGGGATCAGGACCCTGAACTTTGGAAGAGTGAACTTCAGCAGTTCAAGGAATTGTTGGCCAAGATTCCCTGGGATGCTGTCCTTAGAGACAAAGATGTTGAGGAGAGCTGGCTACTCTTCAAGGATGCCTTCTGAGAGCACAAGAGCTCTCCATCCCTCTGAATAAGAAAGCGGGCAGAGGAGGTAGGAAACCGGCATGGCTCAGCAAGGACCTGCTGGGCATGCTGAGGGCAAAGAAAGCTCTGCAAACAAGGGTTTGTCACCTGGGAAGAACACAGGGATGCAGTTCGGACTTGCAGAAGTGGGATCAGGAAAGCCAAGGTGCAGGTGGAACTGAACTTGGTGAGTGATGTGAAAAGCAATAGGAATACATTCTACAGGTACACTGGCCAGAAGAGACAGGTCAAAACAAGTGTACCTCCTTTGGTAAATGTAAAAGGAGAACTGGCTTCAACGGACGAAGAGAAGGCTGAGGTACTGAATGAGTTCTTTGCCTTGGTCTTCACTGGCAGCCAGGATTCTAATATTTCTCACGTCCCTGAGCCCTGCATCCCTAAACCTCTAGGTGGGACCAGGGCGGTAAATCCCCCTCCACTGTAAGGGCAGAGCAAGTTCCAAGACCACCTCATGAGACTGAATGTGTACAAGTCTATGGGGCTGGATGCTGTGCATCCCAGGGCTCTGAAGGAGCTGGCTGAGGTGGTTGCTGAGCCACTCTCCATCATATTTGAAAAGTAGTGCTTGTCAGGTGAGGTCCCAGATGACTGGAGAAAGGGTCACATCACTCCCATTTACAAGAAAGGGAGCAAGGAAGACCCCGGGAACTACAGGCTGGTGAGTCTCACCTCTGTGCTTGGGAAGACCATGGAGCAGATCCTGCTGGACGACATACTTGATCACATGAGGAATGAGCGTATGATCTGAGACAGCCAGCGCAGCTTCACCAGGGGAAGGCCATGCTTAACCAATACGGTGGCCTTCTGTGATGGAGTGACAGCATTGGTGGAGAAAGGGAAGGAGACCGATGTCATTTACCTGGATTTGAGCAAGGCCTTTGACACGGTCCCCCACCACATTCTTATCTCCAAATTGTAGGGATGTAGATTTGATGTGCAGATCACTCGAAGGATAAAAGTTGAAAGGCCGCAGACAGAAGGTTCTATGTCCAGGTGGAGACTGATAACGAGCAGCATCCCCCAGGGGTCTGTCTTGGGACTGGTGCCTTTATCAATGACGTCACCAATGGAATTGAATGCACTCTCAGTAAGTTTGCTGACAACACCAAGCTGAGTGGTGTGGCTGACACAGTGGGAAGGGATGCCATTCAGAGGGCCCTCGACAGGCTGAAAAGGTGGGCCTGGGTGAACTTATTGAGGTTCAACATAGAAAAGTGCAAGGTTTTGCACTTGGGCTGGAGGAATCCAAGGCATTTATACAGGCTGGAAGGCGTGGTTCTTGAGAGTAGCTCTGCAGAGAAGGTCCTAGGGGTCCTGATGAATGAAAAACTGAACATGAGCCAGCAGTGTGCTCTTGCAGCTTGAAAAGCAAATGGTATCCTGGGCTCCATCAGAAGAGGGGTGGCCAGCAGGGACAGGGAGGTGATTGTCCCTCTCTACTCTGCTCTTGTGAGGCCCCATCTGGAGAACTGTGTACAAGCTTGGAGCCCCCAGTACAAGAAAGACAGAGAGATGTTGGAGAGGGTCCAGAGGAGAGCCACAAAGATGATCAGGGGGCTGGAGCACCTCCCCTATGAAGACAGGCTGATGGAGCTGGGTTTGTTCAGCCTGCAGAAAAGAAGGCTGTGGGGTGACCTCATTGCAGCCTTTCAGTACCTAAAGGGAGCCTACAGACAGGAGGGAAATCAACTCTTTGAAAGTGTAGATAACAGCAGGATGAGGGGAAATGGTTATAAGCTGAGGGAGGAAAGATTTAGGTTGGATGTTCAGGGGGAAGTTCTTTACAGAGAGAGAGTGGTGAGGTGCTGGAACAAGCTGCCCAGAGAGCTTGTGGATGCCCTGTCCCTGGAGGTGTTCAAGACCAGGTTGGATGGGGCCCCAGGCAGCCTGGTCTAGTATTAAATGTGGAGATGGTGGCCCTGCCTGTGGTAGGGGAGTTGTAGATTCATGATCCTTGAGGTCCCTTCAAACCCGGGCCAGTCTGTGACTCTGTGATTCACGGGCCCCACACTTCTTCCAAAATTCTTCACTCATGGTCCTAGCCGAACGTGTCAAAATTGAAGAATGGTACAATATTTTTATAAACATAATCCCCCCTGACTCCAATCTGTGTGGATACACCAGGAGGAAAACACACATCTCTTTTACAAGCTGTGGTGACTGTGCTCTCATGCAGTGTTCAGGATACATGGGTTTGGGGCTGTGGCCCACTCAAGACTGGTTATCCTGGGGCATTGGTACCAATATTTAAATAACAATAATGAGACTGAATTTGTAACAGAGATTTTCTATCTCTGCATAACAATTGCAAAGTGTGGTGATCAAAACAGGAAAGCAGCTGCAAGAATTTCCCCTGAAAAAAAAAAATCATTGAAAGAGAGAAGTCCAGAAATTGTATGTTTAGCTTGATATGTGCTGGCAAACCAGGGGATGGTGTCAGCCAACTAACCTTCTGTTATGACTTGTGATTATACAATTTGATCTTCTCAGTTCTGCAGAAGAGGATTTGTCTGATGACCTGGAGTCAGAGGCGTGTAGGTCTGTCCAAGATAATATGTAACCCTGGGCAGAATGGTGAATCTGACCAAGCCTTGTCTGGTTCCACATCTGTAAAACAGGATTAACAGAGTGGCTGAATCTCTGCAAGTTTTCTGTCATGTTCAATACCTTCAGTCTTCTGATTCATACTATCAAAGGGAAGCATTTCTTTAATTAAAGCTTTCTGACTCTCACAGCTTGAAAGAATATATATCAGCAAATACATTTCAACTTTTTAAAGTTACACTTAACTTACCTAACTACACTTACTTAACACTTAACTTACTTAACTTATACTTAACTACACTTAACTTTGTTAAGATTGATATTAAAAAACAAAATAGCAACAGTAAGCAACCTCACATTCCCTAAACAAATTAAACAACTTTTTTTTTTTTTTTTTGTGGACCTGATTCCTGGTATATCTATTGTTTAAATCACTTGAGTTTGAAGAGTTTGCAATAACAGTATATATCTCAAAATTTCTTGGCTCTATCTAGTTGGTTTGTCAGGGGTGGTCTCCTACAATAAAACCAGATATTCCGCTGGATGCTGATGCCCTGCTTTTGACTGATGTTTTCAGGTGTGGTGATAATACGAATCATATTCATGAAGAAGAAAGTTAAAGCAAGAGAGTCAATTAGGATTCTTTTTCTTTCTTTTTATATTTTATTTTTATGTAGTAGCAAGGTTATAATGTGATGTTGGCTGTCTAGCTTAGAGGGCTTTTACTAAGTCCAGCTCACATAAAAAGAAGCAGTCATTCCTTGAAATCTAGTTTTCCTGTGAAAAATTGAAAAAGTATGTCCTAAAACTGTCTCTATGTAATGATGTTATGATCTCACATTAAAAATAATTCACTTTTCAGGAAGACATGAGATTGGGGTATTTTTGTTTGTATGTTAGAAGAAATGTTTCTTTAGAAACAAGAAGGGCTTCTTGTTTTTTACTCTGTTACACTGTTGGTAATGGAAAAAGGACTTAAACCTTGAGACCAGTTCTGAATCTCCACACATTAAATCTAGACAAGGTCATTGCATAGAAACAGAAACAGTGACTTTTCTTGTGTCTTTTCACAGAACCACTTTCCCTTCTCCAGGCTGAGCAGTTCCAGCTCTCTCAGCCTTTAGTCAAGTTTCAGCAAAATGAATGTGCTTTCTGGCAGGAATAACAGCATTTGTCAAATCTTTCCAGCAGAAGGGACCACTAAACACCGGAGCCTGAATGTGTTACATTGGCTGCATGCCCTCACATTTGTCTTCAAATAACTATATTATCAACTTCACTTTTGTGGAGACAGGACAAGGGGAGACGGACATAAGCTGCAGCATAGGAAGTTCTGCACAAATGTGCGCAAGAACTTCTTTACGGTGAGGGTGACGGAGCACTGGAACAGGCTGCCCAGGGAGGTGGTGGAGTCTCCTTCTCTGGAGATGTTCAAGACCTGCCTGGATGCCTACCTGTGCTACCTGCCGTAGGGAACCTGCTTTGGCAGGGGGGTTGGACTCGATGATCTCTAGAGGTCCCTTTGGTTTTCAAAAACTTTTTGATTTATTTGATTTATTAGTTTCAATTCCAATTACCATGTATTTCTGTTATTATAATTAGTAAATTAATTTTCCTCCTTAGATTGTTGTCACTGTTTGCTTGTTCTTTTTTTTTCCTTTCCTTTTTTGTTCCCTTTCCTCCTTTCCACTTTCCTTTTTGGCCAGGTGGGCCTATCTCTCTGTCATGGACTAGATCTAGAGATAACTGTGACACATGTCCTGGTGATACATCCTCACAGCAGGGCTGTGCTGCCAGAACAGCAGGATCACATTTCTGGTTTTTGACATGTAGTATCTGGGCAATAATTAAAAGCCTGCAGGGATTACTGTGTCTGTTAATCAATAACTCCAAGACAGAGACTGCTCACGAGGTGTCAGCCATGGATTATGCTCTTGCAGAGCTTCTAAGCTCAGCTTCTTCTCTGGTCTTTGAAAACCTTTGGAAATCCACCTGTGAGCATCCATACAGTCTGACCAGATGGGTCAATATGTCTCTTGTTACTGTAAGAGTGAGCACTACTTCACCAAGTACACTCGAGTAGTTTTCAGTACTCCTTTTGTCATCCCTTTAGGAAATTAAATGGGAATTGATCCTTACTGATGTAACAGCTGTGCTCAGAAGGGTGGGATCTTAGCCTAGCAACAATATTTTAGAGTAACAGGAGGAAACAGTGAAGAAAATTCTGCATTTCGCCTATAATGCCCTTGGCCTTCAGGGAGAGCAATGCCTGTACTGACACCAATACCACCTACCAATACCACCTTTACAGCTACCTGCAAGTAGTATTACTTCTGAAATGAGAAAGTATACAGGAAGTGTGACTTGGGAGGAAAGAGCAATTTACTGCTATGGCAGTAAATGAGGCATCAAGCAACATCACTCTACACAGTATCCTACTGTCATAACCTAGGTTTAAATGCATCTAGCATTCTAGTACCTGAAATACTGTATGTATTGTAATGAGGAATATTATGTTTTACTATTCAGGATATTCCTGCAACATTTTCTGCTTATAGGTTGTTATGTATATGAAAGCACCTTGAAAGTACCATTGCAAGGGGATCAGCCTAATTCTGTAATACAGATTTGGAGTATGATTTGCACTGTCTTGCCAATTTCCTAACACACTTGTAGCAGACGTAAGAGGTTAATAGCATCTATCTCCAGTCAAATAGTCTCAAATCTCTACAACTTGATGTAATCATTGCATTTCTGCTTGCAAAATGTCTGGGGCATCCTATGTTTTCATTCCTTTGCAAGCCCAAATTCTGGCTACAATTATGCTATAAAAAAAAGCAGAATACATATTTGTAATTTTACACAACAGTTAGATGATTATGATAAACCAGTGAACAACATCTTCAGTGTTTGAAGTGGAAGACAGAGAGAGGCCCATTCTGCACTATGTTATAGTTACCCCCCACAGCCTGCTCGCTCCCCTGGGTCTCTGCTCTACCACTCTGCTCTGACTACAGCTCTCCCTGTACACAGACTCACAGCCTCTTCCAGGGGTCACCATGCTCCCCACCACTCCATGGTGAAACAGAACAAATCTCTTTCTAGTTTCCCCTGCAAATGCACCGCCTGGATGCCTGTGCTCTCAAAGGCATGAACAGCTGGGCAATGTGCCACTAAAATAGTATGTGCAAGACAAAGACTTGTCATGGTTTTATGATTTTTGTTATTGGTATTCCATGTCATAACATCATGTAAAATGTGGGGAATTAAAGAGTTAATACTCCAATTCCATGGATTGACAATTTTCTGATACCTGGTTCTCACTTACCCCAATTACTTTGCATTCAGAGGGGAAGATAAGACCCACAAGTCAAGAGACTCGTGCTCTCTCTCACTGCATGGCAGTGTGTGGGTGTGCTCCCCAGCCATTTCGCCTTCAATTCAAAGCCCTTTAGTTTCAGATACTTTCTCTCTCATTTTATTTGATTTATTAGCCTCAATTCCAATAATATTGTATTATATTGTGTTACCTTGCATTCCAATATGATATTTAGTAAAATCAACTTTCCTCCTCAGATTGTTGCTACTATTCTGTCCCCGGGCCCAGCTCCCACCTCCCATCTTCCTGCCCTCCCCCTTTCCCTTTCCCTTTTAGGGTCAGTGGGCCTGCAGGCCTGCTGCCCCTGTTATGAACACAGATTGATCTAGCTAACTTCGTGTTACATCAGCACTCAGTAAGTCAAGAATGAAGTCTGAGGCATGACTGAAAAAAAAAAAGTTTGATGTGAATATTCATGCTCTGTTTTCTCACTCAGAGTTCACCAGGTGTAAAACAAGGTATTTTAGGCTTTCTTTTTGCAGACTTGATGCCATCCCTTCCCAGCCAAAGCCCAGTCTGTGTGACAAAAGGCAGCCTGGGTCCAGACACCAAGTTGTGGGGTGTGGCCAACACACTGGAGGGACAGAATGTCATCCAGAGAGAGCTAGACAGGCTTGAGCAGTGAGCCCAGGAGAATCTCATGAGGTTCAACAAAGCCAAATGCAACATCTTGTACCCGGGCTGAAGCAATCCCCACTACCAGTACAAGCTGAGGGAGGTGTGGGTGGAGCACAGCCCTGTCAAAGAGGACTTAGGGGTACTGGTGGATGGCAAGCAGGACATAAATCATAATGTGCCCTTGCAACTCAGAAAACTAACTGTATCCTGGGCTGCATCAAACAAAGCATGGCCATCAAGACAAGGGAGGTGATCCTGCCCCTCTGTTCTGCACTGGAGAGGCCTCACCTGGAATATAGCATCCAGATGTGGAGTCTTCACTATAGGAGAGACATGGACCTGTTGGAGCACATCCAGAGCAGGGCCACAAAAATGATGCGAGTTATGGAACACCTCTCCTGAAAGGACAGGCTAAGAGAGCTGAGGTTGTTCAGTCTGGAGAAGGTTCTGGATAGACCTGAGCGTCTTTCCATATCAAAAGGAAAGAGAGGGCAGAGTCATTAGCAGGGTCTGTGGTGATACGACAAGGAAAAGTGATTTCAAACTAGAAGAAGGGAGATTTAGCTTGAATATAAGGAAAAAATCTTTTACAGTGGGTGTGGTGAGGCAGTGGAATGGGTTGCCCAAAGAGGTGGTAAATGTCCTGTCCCTGGAGAGTTTCAAGTCCAGGCTGCATAGGCCCTTAGCAAACTGATCGAGCTGCGGATGTCCCTATTCACTGCAGGGCAGTTGGACTAGACGACCTTTAAAGGTCTCATCCAACTATAAGCATTCTATGAATCTATGATTTACTGAGCATACAACTTGGGCTGGAGCCCACACTGGCAGTGTGCAGGTCCTAGGGAACTCTGCTGGTATATGGCCGGAAAATAACTCAGTTATAATGCTGGAATTTTCACACCATTATTCCATAAAAGAACCTGCAGAAGGTTGTGAGAAATCAAATTAATTCTTGAGTTCAGATGTGCTGCCATGCATAAAGCTTTAGTGCTTTTGTCCTGCATTTTTAGAGCAAAGGGAACAGGATCTAGCAAGAAGACAGGGAACTCTTGATGATCCATGTGACCTTGACAAGGCCCTGTTGGTGCTGCATTGCAGGAGGGATCTGCTTTGCTGTGGTTGCAGGCAGTACTGGGGAGGTGCTGGAGCACTGGGCTGCAGCTGGCTACTGTGCCAGAGCTGTGTCTGTGTCAGGTCCCTGGGGGTGTGCAGCAGGGCCCGGTGCTGACAGACAAATTCCCCAGCCACATGTCTAACCAGTGCTTGCAGCACAGAAGATAGAGGCTGCCCACACACAGGCTGGCTCTCCCTGCCTGGGAGTCTCGAAGCCATTATGGGGAATGCATGAGATGATGTTGGAGTTTATTTTAGGCAACCTGTGGCTGGGAGTCTGGTCCCCAGTGCCACTTCACAGTGTCTCTCAGATTTAAGAGCCTTCATGGAACATTTCAGCTCATCTTCTTGTAATGAGTTTGAATGATTTTGTTAAACTAGAATTGCGGACAATCCAAGGACATATACTAAAACTGAAAATAATTTGCAAGAACTTGACTAAACCACTTTGTAGCAGCTTGGACAGACTGAGATAGGGAAAACATGCTCATGACAAAGAGTCATGACAGAGAGAGCTTCCCAGAAGGCAGGTGTAACCAACCCACCTGGAACCCAAACTCAGTGCTGCTCCTTGAAGTGAGTCTTCATGCCTTCATGGCACAACAAAAGGCAAATACAAAGAAAGCCACTAACAGTCTCAGCCATACTTTGAGGACTAAGAGGCAGGATTGCTCAGCTTTGATTTTTAGTTTTTTTGTTGCTCTTGAATCTACTACAGGAATAACATGAGAATAAGCAAATTACTCTCCTAACCCAATTTATAACATTTTTAGCCAATTCACACCATCTCCCAACTAACATCACATACTAGCAGAGAAATAGTGGTAAAAAAGCATGATATGCAGCCTTACATACAGAGCAGCAGGAGGCAGTGCTAGTTTTCTGCTTCATGTGTGAGAGTGAGCAGTAAGTGCACACAAGTATCACACGTGGTATGCACGCACAGTGCTCTGGCAGAGCATGGCATGGGAAGACCCCACTGACCTGTCCCCCTAGATCTTGAGACTCTCTGCAAAACACTTGCTGTAGACAACAGCTGCCAGCACATAGCTGCTCTTTGCAGTCCCCAGGCACCTAGTTCTTCATTCTTTCAGCTGCAGCCATTCTGAGTAGTGCTGGTTATCACTGCTTTTTAACGGGTGTCATGGAGGCTGAGGCCTTTTGCTCCTTGACAATTAAAACATGCACCAGCCACTCCATTCTCTCTCCATGATGGATGACAAGTTTACAGGCCTTGAGTGCCCCAGTCACCCCATTAGCTTTTTAAAAATATTGGCTTTCTTCCAAATCTTTTCAATTTCTTTACTGTTCCTTTTATATTTTTTTTCCATTGTGTCAGCATTAATGGATAAGTGAGCTCCTCGGACAATTCCTGGAAGGTATCCAATCCCACATTTTCAAATGTTTGAGTTTAATATCTGTACTTAATATCCTCCTTAGTCACTCACTAACAGAATAGAAAGTAATTGTTGTACTGTATATCTCAGTCATCAGTCAAATCCTGATGTTTCTTTTTCAGGAAGCAGCAATTTCATATCCCTGGTCCCTGCATAGTTGTCCTGGGCAACAAGTGACCCGTGCAGTCTGCCACCTGAAGTCCTGCGGCTACAGACTGGCTTGTTTCACCTTTTCCTGCACTTTTTCCTGCACATCCCTCCCTTGCTGCAAGCCTTCTTAGCCAATCTTTGTATGCAACAATAAGAAGAGCTCTGTTTCTGCCATTACCACAAATCTGCAAGCAGAGACCCTCATGGACTATGCTCTGGGGCTGGGATTTCTCCTGGTTACCTTGCTGTCATCCTAGGAGCTGGTTAAGGGATGTGTAGCATTGCACCAACTGCTGCATGTAGAGGGAAATGTGGTCACAGAACCACGGAGTCAAAGGGTGCATGAAAGTTGGCAGGGATCTCTTGGTCCATGTGGGACACTCAAAGCAGGGTGTCAAGGAATGCATCCAGGTGGCTTCTGAAGACCTCCAAGACAGGAACCCTGCAGCCTCTCTGAGCAACGTATGTCAGTACTCTGTCAGCCATACAGCACAGAAGTGCTTCCTGGTGTTCAGAGGGAACCACCTGTGTTCCAGTTTTTGGCTGTTGCTATTTATAGACACTGATAAGATCCCCTGAGCCTACCTCTGCAGCAGTCCCTGCGCCAAAGTATTTGGTGAATACTGATTCCTCCTTGCTGCAGTTGAGCCACTTCCTCAGTCAGCTGGGACAGAACGGCCTGAAGACAGGAAGCATGATTCAGAGTGAAAGACAGCAGCACACCAATACTGTTACCCCTAAATTTGGGTAGTGATCTTCCTTCCTGCATCTCAGCAGCCTCCAAGAGTGAGCCCTGTTCTGTGGCAGCACTGCTTGGTGCAGGGCAAGCCCCACACAGCCAGGCCATGGGGTACAGGTGGCAATGGGTCTTGCCATCAGCCGTCCTGGCTACCTGCCTGCTGAGCAGGCCTGACACATTCCAGTCACGTTCCCACACGGATCAGTGAACAGCAGAGGAAATCACTAATTAATGTTTGTTTTTGTCTCAGTGTTAAGATCCATGAGATCAATGCTTTTACATTCAGGTAATCTATCAGAGAGATTCTAAATAACCACTCTCACCCCCCCTTACCCTTCCTCCCCCCCTAGATACTCACGGATTTTCCAGTAGCATCTGCCTATCATTTTAGGAAATTTACTTGCAGAAGACAGGGAAGTTTTACTGTTAGTTACTCTCATTTTGGGCCTGCTTAGGTCCATTTCCAAAACAGTGTGGCAGAACAGCCTGAAGCCTGGGGCGGTTGAGAGATGGGTGCCATACTGCTTCTGGAGTCACTGTGTCTGCACTGATGCCATTCTGGTGCTCAGCGAGCACTGGAGCACTGCAGTGCTACTTATCCCTACAGTGCCAGGGTGGAGCTAGCAATCATAACCAGCCCTGCAGGCAGAAAGCTGTCAGTGTCCTGGGCAGAAACAGGCCTCCTTGCTCCGAAAACATGGACTGAGGAAACATACACTTTGCTGAATAACACCAGAAATGAAATAACAGGGGAAACAAAAGTTCTCTTCACATGCTTGAGACATTTAGGAAGGACAGAGTACAGATACTTAAGGATAGGTGCAGATAGCTCTGAGGGCAAGTTTTCCCTTTAATACTTTGACGTAAATTCAAAATTATCAGTTCATGCTTAGGAGGAAACTTAGCAGACTACTAAGAATTACACGTCAAACTTTATAACACACATTGGATTTGAACAGTCTGAACAGGACACATCTACCCTCTGTGGCAATGCTGCAGAGCCCTGGACCCCAGCAGAGTTGTGCCGCAGAGTTGTGGGGACATCCTCTGCTGGGTTCTGCTGAGTGCTATGCAAGCACCTGATCCTATGCAGATGAATTTGAGGAGTAAAACCTAGTAGACTGAAAACCTGAGTTCCAGATCTTGTTTCAGAGATTGTTTCCATCTACCGTATAAGGCGTGAAGCAGAAAACCAGGGTGTGAGACATACAGTTTCCTTACTGCAGGCTATGTCCCCCCTCTCTCTTCTTGGATATTAGTGCCAAATATTTGGATATTAATGCCAAATGACTTTTGGTACAGATAACTGCTTTTCATCCCAGTCAAGTCAAGTCAAGTCAAGTCAAGACTGCAGTATCCAAAATCGAGGCAGAGGGGAAAAAACACCTGTAAGAAAACAGAAGTGTCTGAGCTATGTGCATCTGGAGAACAGCAGCAGCCTGCCTATGGATCTGAAGCTGGATTGTGTCCTTCTGTGCTGCACAGACTGTGGGGATACCACAGAGCCCCACAGCACTGTCTGTTAATACGTACTGTGAACCAGCTGGAAGTGGTACTGCAGCCACAGAGGTGAATGTCCTGCATTACAAATAATGCAGGATTAGCTACCTATGATTGCTTCAGAATATGAAATGGATGTTGTCAGGAGGCAAGGAGGAGAGGAGAAATCAGATTTCACAAACATGCCTTGCATTTCATGCAGCAGTGAGTAGATAGTAATGGGACTTGCCATATTTAGTAAGTAAAATGAAAGAGACCTGTTTGGAGAGACTGCACAACAGCCTCTCAAATAATCATGCAGGGCTTCTGGCAGCCAGAACAATGTGTTTCAACTTGCACTTTGGTCTCTCTCACATGGCATGTTGGAATACTTTTGCTTTGACAAGCTTTCCACCTTTGCTGCTTTGGAGCCAAACCAGTGCATGGTGCAAGCAGGTTCAGCTCCTAAGGAGCCAGTGTAGTGATGGATTTGGCATCCAGCACTTGAAATTGTTCTTTTTCTCAGGCCCACTATTGCACAGTCCTGAGGACTTGCTTTTCAGTGATTATAAGATGAAAATCCTCAGAGATTTTTCAGATTGGATCTGAAGTAATTAAGACAATCTTGAAACCACCAACCTGAACTGATGAGTAGGTTTTCACCTGATTTCAGGCTTGGATATTAACATTTTTGCTGACAAACAGATTATTGACTGTTGTCAAGGTTTACCACAATTCTAGATATACAAATACATCAGTTATGCTTTTTAGAAGTTATAAATAAAGGTTGTCACAGCTGATATCAAACAAAAAGTCTCAGGATTTTAGACATAAATGAAGTAAGTGTATAACAACATGTCTTATTATGGGAAAGGCCATAGGGTTCCTGCAATAATGAGATACAGGACACCTCTGATGCCTGGCAGTGCTTCCATCAATGGATATGAAATCTTTGAGAAGCATACATAATCAAATATTCCCCTAAGACAGTGGTCATATAAAGCTGTCTTTCCCAAAATATTTGCTGACTCAATTTCTGCTGATGACATGGAAGTGGCAGTATAATATTGTACATACAATTAAAGCTGGTACAGCATGTTAAATGCATTGTGAACCCTGACAATAACAGTCTTCCTGACAGCAGATCTGATACCTATACCCACACCAAACCAGTAGAATAGCAGATATACTGCTAACCATTTAGTTTTGGTGGAAAGATGATTTAATGGACAGTAATAAATGCATTATGGTGTACCTTTTTTAATTTTCACGCAATTCCTCAGTTATGAGAATGTAATTGAACAAATTAGCTGGCCAGTGCTCTTCTCTCCATTTGTCTAATGTGCCAGTGGGACATCATTATGGGTAACAAGAGTAAAAGATGGGGTAAAAAAATGGAACCTCAGCCAAGGATCTGGATAAATCAAATTGAGATCAGCTGCAAGATCATCATAGAAAGCAAGGAAGGAAGGAAGGAAGGAAGGAAGGAAGGAAGGAAGGAAGGAAGGAAGGAAGGAAGGATGGAAGGAAGGAAGGAAGGAAGGAAGGAAGGAAGAGATGATCACTTCACATTTCTTACATAATACTAAAAAATCTTGGAAGGCTGCTGAAAAAGAAGCAGCAGGGAATTTCTGAGGAGCAGGACATACCTGTGCTACCTGCCTCTCCAGATTTTCCTGCTGGGAAGCACATTTACATAGGGGAAGAGGTGTGAGAAGGCATTCCCAGCTGCACTGCACTACAGGCAGCTTTTCCTGTGAAAAGTGGATATATGGAAGCGGGGGAAGGAAGTGCCTGAATGTGGCATTTCATGGCACTCCCAGGAGGCACTGGGAAGTACCCAGGGAGATGAATGGGGCTTTGCAGCACTCCATTCCTGCTGCCACAAAGGCCTTCTGTGATTCAGCAAAAAACTTGCTTTTTCCTTCCTCAGCAATGAGAGAAGGCACCGATCAGAGATCTGCAAGATCTGTACATCCCACAGGCATCCTCAGCTCTGGATCCCACAGTTTGCTGACATGGCATGTTGCCATCAGCCATAGGATGACAGCGCAGGACACGGCTGCTGCCACCAGGCAGTTGGTCCTGTCTGGGCCATTCTGGAAACTGATGTGTGCTCTCTTGGAGCTGGCCCTTGGTGGCAGAGTGGGGAGTGTGATGGCAATGGGCACTCTTGTCACTATAATTAGCAGCTTCCAGAAAGGCAGATATGCACCATTGCCATGGTTATGCAGCACCACAGTGATGGTGCCAAGCCTCTCATCCCTTTGGCCACTCATATGAGCCAGGGTAGCACCATGTTTATGCATATTGCCCAACTGTTCCTTGACAAATGTATTTTGAGTGAATAATTTATGTTTGGTATATTTAAAGAACAGAAACCTAAATCCTCTATTTACTGAGTTCACACAGAGTTGGCTTTGAAGAGAACAGCTGCAATGTCTCATTTATCATCACCTCCCCTCTGCTGACCTGCTCAGGACCTTCACCCCAGACCAAGGAGAGCATCCTCAGCAGAGGAGCAGCTTTTAGGAGAGCAAGCAAAATTGCTTACAAATGGCAGTATTCAGAATGGTTTGCTCAACACACACACCAGGTGTGCAACAGTATGTTTTGTTTCCTTGCCTGTTTTAGAATCAATATAAAAGACAGGCCACATCCTCAAACAAACAAACAAAAAAATCTGAACTGTTCCTGTTGAGGTTTCACCATCAGTTCTGCTGCTTAAGTCTTAAGCGGGGACTCCAAATAATCCTGTTTGATGCCATCTGGTGAATCCACAGGGGATAAGTAAACAATACCAAACTGATTTCTCTGCCTCCTAGAGGAACTTGGCTTGCATTCACATTCCCTTGGAGGTAAATTATTATTATTCTGATTACTAGCTCGGATTCCACAAAGAGCAGGAGGAAAGGAAGAGAAGTAATAAAGTGACATTCTTTTGCAGCATGGATGCAGTGGAGATCACAGAAAAAAAGACAAAATAATGAAAGTGACATGATCAGGGCTGCTCTTTTGATGTGCCAGTGAATGACAAGCCTTGATTTAAGCAAAGAGGTCTGCATCTGTCTACAGAAAAGCTAAGGGAGAAGAGTGGGTGAAAAATACTGACTTTTAATAAGGGAAAGCAGCCTGAGGTACATTTTGTTCTCAGTTAAATTTATTACCCACTATAGAAAAAATAAAGGAAAAAAGAAAAAAAAAAAAAAAAAAAAAAAAAGAACAGGTGTTCTAGCTCAAGTAACTTATAAAATTATTTGGTGGTCACTTGACCCATACCTAGCATTCACATGCTTTCCTACTGTAGCTAGAGCTCTGTGAACATATATTGTTCAATCTACTGAATTTGTATAAGAATGGGAAAAAAAAAAAAAAAAAAAAAAAAAGACTTGGAGGCAGAAATAAAACATACCCCTGAGAGGATGGTAGGACTAACATCCAGAAAGAACTAA